CCCCCCCGACCCCTCACGCTCCTCTCCGCTCCTACCTGCAAGGCCTACCATCTCTCACCTGCTTCTGCTGCTGCCTCACCTTGAATGGCTTTATCTGGAAGCTTCTGCCCACCACCTGGTGGCTCCGAGCCTGGAATGGGGGGCAGCCCGAATTGGTTGGGGTGGGGGGATCAGGCTGGGGGGGGTTCTTTGCCCTGGGTAGATGGGGGCCCCAGATGCCAGGACCGGAGAGTTGTAGAAGAGCTACGTCCCACCTCCCAGCCCTGCCCTGAGGGGCTGTCCCTCAGGGGCCCTGGGGCCCAGACTCTGCTGTGCCATCGGCCTAAGTAAGGATCCTTTCTCCCCACCTGGGGCAGGGGCCGAGAGCCAGGAGCTGGCAGGGGAAGGAGCTGCCATTTGGGCTTTCTTCATTTAGGCGCCACAAAGCCTGGGCCCCGGGGTGGCTCTCCCCCTCCAGGCTCCTCCCTGTGCCCCTCCGCACGTGCCCAGGCCCGGCGGGGCTCCCCATCCCAGGCTCTGAGTGCGGGAGACCTCGTCCCCTTCCTTCCCTCTCTGGGCCGCCCCCTGAGGTGGGCCCGAGTGGGGGCCATCTGTGAGTGGAGGGCCACAGCATCCGGTCCTCGCTGTGCTCAGGGCCAGGTGACGCGGGCGCAGGAGGCCGAGGAGAACTACGTCATCAAGCGGGAGCTGGCAGTGGTGCGGCAGCAGTGTAGCTCAGCGGCCGAGGACCTACAGAAGGCGCGGAGCACCATCCGGCAGCTTCAGGAGCAGCAGGTACCCGGCCGGGTGGGGCCCCGCACCACAGCCGCCCGGCCTTCCGGACCCGCCCGGTTACTTCCTAGCAGGCAGGGTAGGGGGGACGGAGAAAGCCGGAGGGGACGCGGCTCCCCCCACAGCCCCACACCCACGTCCCACCCGCCGGTGAGGCGTCTGGCCTGCCACACTGAGAACGAGGCGGCCTCGGCGCAAGGGCCCCTGGGAACCAGGCTGCACCTGCAGTGCCCCCTCCCTCAGCTGACGTGGCTGTGATTCCCTAGGGGAATGTCCAGCATGTCCCTGAGGTCTGAAGGGCTGTGGGCTTCCCCGGGGGCCAGCCATGCGGGATGGGAGCTAGAACAAGAGACAGAGAGGGTTCCCCGCTCCAATGCCCAGCACTTTGCCCTCAGAAGAGGGTCCGGTCTGTGCTCACCGCTCAGAGCTGGCGGAGTCGGGGTGAGGGGGCAGCCCAACTCTGTTGTGGGTCATGAACTCTGGGTCACTGGCGGGGGCGGGGGGTGCTCAAGCGAGAGCACCGTGAAGAGTCCACTTCTCCAGGAGGTGGCTTTTCGGGTTTTCCTTTGGCTCTGCCCAGGCCACCTTCCTTTTGCCATGACCTGCCAGCGGCACCGTAGCCCTGGTGGCAGCAAGGCCAATGGGGAAACAAAGGCTGGGCTCATCCCGGCCTTGGCACGATGACCCCTTTCAGGCCAGAGAGACCGCCACCTGCCACCCCTGAGCTGCAGAGGCGGGTGAGGCAGGGAGATAGCTGCTGGGGCTGGGGCTGGGGCTCAGCGTGGGGCCCGGGGCCCACGCGAGCCAAGGGAGGGCCCCTCGAACCCGTGGATCTCGGAGACCTGCGGTAGCCAAGGGCGGCGAGCAGGCCCTCCCCTGGGAAGGGGCCAGCAGCCAGGAGAGGCTGGGACCACCTCCTGGAGAACCACCCTCCCGGGCCTCCAGGCATCGAGATGGGGCCATGGCTCCAGCCCCAGGGCTTGCTTCCCTCACCCACCAGGCGGGTATCCACTCCCCTGGGGTTCACCCTGGGGTACGTGCGTTGAGAAGCCTTCTGGGCCCTGAGCAAGAGCCTGATCCCAGCAGACTCCCCACCCCTTTCTGTTTTGAAATGAGGGTGCGGCGAGAGGAGGGAGGTGGAGGAGGGGCAAGAATGCCCCAGCCCCATGCTGCTCCCACCCCCACTTTGTGCTTAGGCGCCGACTTCACCTTGGGGAACATGCCTGGGAGAACCCGTCCTCCGCCCCAACCCCAGCAAGCCTGGGAGCCAGCCTGAGGCCCTGGAAAGAGCCCTGCAGAAGGTCCCCACTTTGTGGCTTTCCCAGCAAAGAGGCTAAGCCAGGCGGGCTCCATCCCTAGGCACCGAGCATCAGAAGCCCCATGATGGGGTTCAGCTCCCTCCCCACGGGGGCAGAAGGCACAGGGAAGGGGATCCAGGGCTTCTCACCACCGCAGCCGCGGCCCCCTCTGCCAGCCCAGGGGCTCTGAGAAGGGGGGTGCAGAGCCCAGGCCTGCGGCCAGCTGGCAGGAAGGCTACTGACCCCCAGCTGCAGCCCTCTGCCTGCCCCCAGGACAACCCGCGCCTCACCGAGGACTTTGTGGCCCACCTGGAGACTGAGCTGGAGCAGTCACGGCTGCGGGAGACAGAGACGCTGGGGGCCCTGCGGGAGATGCAGGACAAGGTTCTAGACATGGAGAAGGTGCGACTGGGCTGGCAAGTGGGCAGGTGTTGGGGAGACCGTGGAGGAGGGGAGGTGGAGGGACCAGACGTGCTTCTGGAGGTGCATGAGCAGGCCCTAGTTGAGAAGGGGTGACCAGACAGACCCAGTGGGGCGTGTCAAGCCCCCCTGCCCTGGATATCTACACACACACACACATCCAGGGCACACACAAAGCAGCGTGACTCCTCAAGGGACAGCAGTGTGGTGGCTTTCAAGGGCTTCCTGGATAGCCAGTCCCACCTGCCTGTGTCTCCACAGGCCCTGGGGTCCAGGATGGAGGTGGGAAGGAAGGCCAGGGCCCCTGGGGGTTGCTCTCCCCCTCCCCACCTCCATACAGAGACCACCTGCTCCCACCTGTTACTCTGAAGGGTGCCCCAGACCTCCTGGGCCCTCCTCAACTGCTGTCACCCTGACTCCATGTTGACTCAACTCCCACAAAGCCCTGGGAAAGAGGTGCCCCAGCCAGCAGGGGGCAGCAGAACGCACTCACACTAGGCAGAAGCCATGCCCCACCTCCCTCAAGCCTGCACTATTTGGGGTGCCCTCCCAAGTGGGGTGTCTCCACCCCCCCATGGGCCTCTCAGGCTCCACCAGCTGGCCCAGAACAGGGCTTCCCTCCCATCTCTCTCCACATCAGAGGGAAATGTGCACACCAGGAGACCCTGCCACCCTCCCCCCAGCTCCCAGACTCAAACTGGGGGCGGTGAGGACCTCTAGCAGCAAGCTGGATTTTGACCCAAGGGACTGGAGCCCTTGGAACCGCCAGGCCTAGGCCTAGGCCTAGACTGTCCCTCGGCCTGTTCCAAGGAAAGGGGCTGCCTGTCCTGGTCTGGGGGAGAGAGGAACAGGGACAGGGAGCTGTGACCCACAGCCTTCTCGGCTGTTGCTGGGGCAGGTTCCAGGTCTGACCATGGGCCCCAGGGGGTGATCTCGGGTTCCCACGTGGCGGGGCACCCGCCCTATCCCATCCTACCTGGTGTTATTAGCAGTAACATTTATGGAAGACCCACGCGTTAGGGGGTCACCCTGAGACAGTCCAGTGAGAGCGGGTGCCGTTCCGCCGGCAGGATTTCTGCGGATCTAGGCCCGGGGCCACGTGGGGTCGGGTCTGCTCCCCAGGGGCCTGGGCCGCCTTCCCAGTGTATCCCGGGGTCTGGGGGCGAACCCCTCCTCGCCGGGGTGCCCGGGGTGGAGCTCAGAAGACCGCGAGGGAGGGGTGTTGGTCCCGCAGGCAGGGCCGCCCGACGCGCGGCTTCCCCCGCCCAGGGCGCTGACCACCTCTCGCCCCGCAGCGGAACAGCTCGCTGCCCGACGAGAACAACGTGGCGCGGCTGCAGGAGGAGCTGAAGGCGCTCAAGGTGCGGGAGGGCGAAGCCGTGGCCTCGGCGCGGGAGCTGAAGCTACAGCTGCAGGAGCTCTCGGACACCTGGCAGGTGAGGGCCCCAGCCCGACGCGCGCGGAGCGGCCCGCGCGACCCTCGGGGCTGGAGACGCACCGCCCGCCTCTCCCCGCCCCCTCCAGGCCCATCTGTCCCGCGGCGGCCGCTGGAAGGAGTCCCCGCGGAAGCTGGTGCTGGGCGAGCTGCAGGACGAGCTGATGAGCGTGCGTCTGCGCGAGGCCCAGGCTCTGGCCGAGGGGCGCGAGCTGCGGCAGCGCGTGGTGGAGCTCGAGACGCAGGTGGGCCCGAGCGCCCGCGCCGCGGCGGGGGCCGGGGAGGGGGGTGG